TATATATATAGATAGATATATTCAAATCAAAGCATAGACAAAACAAAATAAAAATCAAAAGTTATTGAATACCATGTATAACATTTAGATCATGTCTCAATTAACTCTATCTTGTCAAAATTAACTGATAAAAATAATATTCAAATTAAACCTTTAACAGATTCCGAATTGCATAATTAAAGAAAAGAAGAAGAAAAAAAAGCCCCCACATCTCAACTGAAGATCCAAACTATCTTCTTCACCAGAAGAATCCAAGTAAAAAGGCAGGGAAAGCAGACTAAAAGCTAGGGTATATATAATATCAGAAAAAGGACATCTAAATTAGCAAACCCTAGTCACAGAAACCGCGCACCTGTGTGTAAGAACAAAAGAAGGAAAAGACAACCTAGGACCATCCATCACCTCCGGCGACGGTCGCCGGCGAATTGGGAGAGAGGAACGAGCTCGGAAAGGGGAGTAGATAGCGGAGTCGACTGGGGAGTCGGCATAGGCGAGTTGCGACAGACCGGACACGAAGGGTTGAGACGAAGCCACGCATCGATGCACATAAGGTGGAAAGAATGGCCGCAATCCGGCATCATCCTCAGCATCTCGGCTTCTCTATACTCGCAGAGACAGATGGCGCATGTTCCATCTCCGTCTCCCTTCGCCTTCGCGGCCGCGGAGGAGAACTGGAACTTAGGATACGATGCGATGGCGGTCGGATCAAGCCCGACCATTGAAGCGGCGGCCATGACCGTGTTGTTGTTACGCCCTTCCTCCTCATCATCTTCTGCAACGAAGATGATGCGGGGGAGAACGACGCCTCCGAGCGAATCGGCGTCGGAAGAAGGGGTTCGCCGGCGGCGAGAGGAGACACGGCAGCAGAGGTAGGAGGCGAGGAGGAGAGTGGAGAGTAGGACGAGTAGGCCGAGAGCGATGGCGATGGCATAGCCTAAGCCTAGATTGCTGAGGCTGCGAAGGAAGGAGGGAGATTGAGCAGAGGCGGCGGTGAAGGAGGACATTGGGGAGGGAGGAGAAGGAGAAGAGGGTTTTGTGGCATGATCGAAGGAACCTGTGACGATTTTTTTCCTTTTTTTTTTTTCTTTCTTTTTTTCTCTTGCGGGTTTTCTTGGTAATTGGTGGCGAAGGGGAGCGAGTGGGTTTCCCAGCTACTGCATTTATTGCTAGAGATGGATGCGGGAGACGAGGGGAAGAGAAGAGGGGGGAGAAAGGAGAAAGAGAGAGCTTTTATTGTGGAGGAGGGGAGAGAGAATTTGGTGTTAATGGAGAAGCAGAGAGGATGAGGACCACACAGCCCACAGGGATGAAGAACTCAAGTGGAAACTTCTGTATGAATGGAAGATGTTAGTGGTTGGTTTGGAATACATTTAAGTGGAAGGAAAATATTTTTTGTCATCCAATTGTTTAGGTTTTAATGGTACTTTTTAAGAAATTTTTCTTAAAAAAAAAAAAAATTGGGTGTGCTTTTGTCTCAAATTAAGATAGGTCGCATTATTATAATTTTCTTAATGCATTTGACATGAGTTCTTATGGAATAATCATTTTAAGTTTGTTTTCTAAATGATTGAAACACTTGTATGATTTTTTTTTTATAATTGATTAGTAGATAAAAAAATGAGTAGATCATATTTTTCTAATTATTTATTTATTTTCATTTGTCTTAAATTGGCTAATGCTAAGCTTAATTTCAAGCGAGACAAATATGAATATAGAGCAAGTTTTCCAAACACGGCTCAATACACATTTAATTGCGATGTAAAGCATATATTGTGTTGCACTTGAAAAATATTTTGTTACAAAATTATGACTTAATGAAGTTATTTCCTGATGTCTCTAAACTTGATCCACAACCTTTATGGAGTTATTTATATTAAGCTAATTATGTTCATTTTGATATTTTGACTATAGATTTGAGGAGTTGAGACTCTACTAAGCTAATTATGTTCATTTTGATATTTTGACTATAACTCTATAGAATGGCAAGATCAAGATCATTCTATTGACTGAAGACTTCATCAATGATGATGCACAGTGAACCACCATTGACCCTTCATCTGCCACCAAAGCAAACTTTGGCTTGGGGATTATGCCAACTTACGGGTGAGAGCATTAGATTAATTTTTTTAAAAAAAAATATTAGTAAATATTAATTTTATTTATTTGGGATATTACGAACTTTCAAAACATTGAAGAATTGAAGTGCTTATATAAAACATGAAGCTCTTCCCCATTTCTTGTGCACTTGAATATAAGCATTCGCATGAGTACTGTCACCCATCTCTATAACTTTATTGTATCACTTTGCTTGCCACCATTTGTTATTGCCATCTCTACCATGAGTAAAAGAATCATCTTTAACTTCTCTCAATTATCACCATGACCTTCCCATCACCACTAGATTATATTATCTCACCATGAGGAATAAATGTTGCAAACAACAAATAGCCACCTCTACAACCTTCCTTTGCTACCTTACTGGTCGCATTTGATTTATATCATCTATATCATCTCCACCTCTAAAAATATAACTAAATTGCCTTGAGTTGATTAGTTGACCTCTTGCTATGTTGCCAATAGCATTTTGCTCATGTCATCTTAATTTGAAAAGAAAATCTACTTAATTCTTCAATGGCGGAACCCCTATTATTTTTTAGGTTTAGTAAAATCAACAAATGTTTAATTTGTTTTCAAGTAATGGGCAAAAAAATATATTCAGGCGGGGCAAATTACTGAATTGCTAAAACTACATAAGAAAATAATATTAAATTTTGCTATTCATATAAAAAAATTACAAATTTCACAACGGACAATTGTCCTAATGTGGACATAACAAATTTACAACCCTAATTACCTCAATCACTTCAATATTTTTGCATTGCTTTTCTTATTACCTTCAATTGATCTCATCTCAAACTCTAGGAGTACCTACCATTTAGAAGCTATTTTACCTAGGGTAATCCCTATTCATTTTTTGCTTTTTAATTTTTTGACACAAAAAAAATCATTTAATTGTGCATGAATCATCATTCATAACTAAAAACCGAAAGAGTAAAGTTTCAGTTATACAATGTCATAATAATTAATTGCTTAAAACCGGTATAAAGTCCTAGTAAGTTTAAACTGTGAATAATATCACATTACTTCATGCTTCAATTAATTATTTATCTCTCAAACAAAATTAAAAATGCACAATTAAAGTTGGTGAAAACTAACTTCAATTCAATTGAATTCATTTCTCATTCTCATTTTCATTTACTTTTCATTTTTTGAAGTAAGTTTTACTCACAAACCACTTAATTATGATGTATTCACATAATAAACACCTAAACTTTAATTTTAAGGATAATTGCATATAAAGCACCCAAAACTTTATATTCACATATGGCACGATCAAACCATTGAGACTTTGATAAAAATGAAAAATATGGGTTAGGTTTTATCATGACTTCATATTTGAGTGAGCATTG